CTGACTGTGTGGCCACTTCTCTATAAGTAGAGTTTCTGTACATGCAAACTTAGTTAGAGGTATTTTATTTTATAACCATTTTTTCAAGTATATCTGCTTTTTTCATTATTTTTAAACACCTTTATCATTCATTACCTTACTGCTTCAAAATTAGAAATTTAGAGAGATAAATGTTTTTCAATGTAGGATTATAATTCCCTTACTCATGTTAGATGTGTGCTTTGCTTTGCAGGTATTTCAACCGAGATCAGTAAAACTATTGCAAAATTAAATTCCCATCCACTGTGGATAATGGTATCGGAATTTGGGCATCAAAGGATACCCCATAAGAATTAATCAGTTTGACAAATACTTTTTCCTTATTTTTAGATCTGGTGTGGCGCTGTGTGGTGAGACTGGGTGACATAGTGAAGCTGGGGATTTTTGTCTCCACTAAATATACTTGTCTGAACGATGAATGAGTTGTTTAACCCAGAAATAAAGGTACATTGACCAATATGTAAACTACAAAGCAGACTGGAAGCAAAGTAGTTATAAAAATTCTTTCTTCTGGAAAGGAACCTCGATCTTTAATGATTTTATTAGTTCTGTCAAAGTTTGTAGTTACTCTTTGTTTTCCTGTACCTTGGCTGCTAGGTTGTGAATGTCATTCCAGTAGTCTTCAGAGTTGCAGGTTATAAAAAACGGTTTCTCTAGGAATATGTATATTTTGATCTCATCTGGCAGGTTTGCGTGAGGGGATGAGGTCATCGGTGTGATTTTTTTCAGTTTGCCCACACAGCAGTGTACACATGTGGACACCTCAGAGGCTGCAAAACTTCTTTCTCACTCCTCAGCATAGGGTCAGGTGAACCAAAGCTTGGGTTTTACTGCTGACCACAGCATTTAGCACATCCGTAGAGTTTACACTCATATTTGTCTTGCCCTTGTCCTCTCACCATCTATTTCTCAGCATAGAGCAGCACATACAACTGTGCAAAGATGCAGAGCAAAGCAGCTGAGAGACTTCCTGTGTTTTAGGATAGCACACCAAACAGTAAAGAACTGCTGACTGTAGTTAATGCCAGACTTGGCAGCTACAACATGCCTTCCTGAAGGCATCGACATAATTCTCCTCCTCGTTATTTCCCTGCTGATGATGCCTTTGTGTGTGATGGCACTCGTGCTTGCTTCTCAAACTGTTTGTAGTACGCTTCCCATACCTGATTGTAGTACGCCTCTCGACTAACAGCTTGTGTCTTGAGTTGGTTTGCCTTTCTGAAAACAGCAAGGTTGCTTTTATAGTTACAAGGTATACAGAGGAGCTGTTTTTCTTTTATGCTGTTTCTAACTGTACTGTTCTGTGGCAGCAGCTACACATATCATTTGTATACCAGTTAGCATTAATATTTCAGAAAAATGCTTTGTTGATCGTTATATTAGAAATCATATGGTTGTAGAGAGTCTCGTAAAGTAATGATTGCAATTTTGCTAGGTGTTGTCACTAGAAATTGGAGACTCAGTAAATACATTTTGTATACTTTTCTAGCACTCTGTATGGCGAATAACACAGCAATTACAGGACATTACAATATGCATCCTGTGACAGTTTGTTGCACTTCTGAGCACTGCCAGGAGACACAGAAGCGTATTGGCAGCAGTAACACAGAGTGTGTGAATATAGTATCTTGTATTTATCTAGTGCCTTTCATCAGGGATGCTTTGGACAGATCGATAGACTGTCAGTGCCACAGTAATACACCTACTTCTACACACTTTGCCTAATGGTGAAATAGAGGGAAATTCTCACCAAGATCCACCACTGTCTACCAGAATGCCTTTCTGCAGAGCTGTGCCCCAGCCTGGGTTTTTGCAGGGGGTTATTCCTCTCCCTGTTCAGGGCTTTGCATTTGTCCTTACTGAATTTCACACCACTCCTGTCAGCCTATTCATCCAGCCTTTCTAGGTCCACCTAAATTGCCATCTGTCCTTGAGCAATTGACCAGTCCCCCAAAGTCATGTTGCCTGCAAACTTGACAAGAGGGTGCTTGCTCACCTCCTGCAGGTTATTGGTAAAGACATGTCCTGGGTTAGACCTCTGTGGTACCTGTTACCTCTCCAGGTAAGCTACCCTGTGAGTCTGATTGTCCAACCAGAAATTTATCCATCTGGTTTCCCACCCAGCCAGACCTACTGACCTAATTTGGATACAAGAAGATTGTGGGAGACACTATTGAAAGCCTTGCTAAAGTTAAGGTGAACTACATCCATTTCTCTGGTCTTGTCCAAAAATGACATCATTTTACTGTAGAAGGCAACCAGATCTGTCAGGCATGACTTACTTCTGGTAAATTGACGTTGACTGTCCCCAGTCATCTTCTCCTCCTTCATGTGCTCAGAAATGTGTTCTGAGAGGACTCGTTCCGTTATGTTGGCTGACCAGCCTTAATTCTATTAATCTTTATCTTTTTTGAATACAGTTTGGACATTTCCTTTCCCCAGTGGTCAGAGATCTCCTCCAGTCTCCTTCATCTTTCAAAAATTAAAGCAAGCAGCCTTGCAAGGACATTGACCTGCTCTCTTAGCATACTTTGATGCAACCTGCCAAGTCCCATGGACTTCTATGGGTCTGGGGCTCTCAATCAATTCCTGCCTTTCTGGTTGGTATTTACCTGACCACCTGCTATGGGTTATTCATTCCCTCCTTGAACCCTGCCTCTACTCACAGAGACCTGGGAGATCTTTTTGGGGAAGAGTAAGGCAAGGAAGGCACTGAGCACCTCAGATTTAGCTGTGTCTGCTGCACCCCTCAACAAGACCATACTTTTCTTCTTCAGCCTTTTAGTTCTGCAAAAGCTGTTCTTGTTACCCTTGAGATTCCTTCAGAGCATCCACTCTAGCTGAGTGTTGGCTTTCCTAATGCTAACCAGAGTTGCCAGGAAGAGTTTCTAAATTCCTCCGTTGTAGCTTGTCCTTACTTCCACCTTTTGTATGTTGTTCGATGAGATGAAGGCCTTTTGAAAGTCTTGGGTTTTTTTAGTAATTTCGAAGTGTAATAGATGACTGAATTGATTTACCTGGAGAAACCCACTTGGTGGCTATCTTCAGGACTGATCTTTAAAATTGTATCAATGCAAATTTGAATTTATGTATTAAACCTAAGTACAACATCTTAGTTGTTTATTTTCATGATTTCCCTGATTATCACTAGAGCCTTTTTAAAAATATTTACTTCTTCTCTTTCACATGCTGGCTATAATAAAATCTCACATTTTTACTAATAGCTCAGCCATTTCATATTTAATATTTCACAACTCATAGGTGTTTATCTGGACTTGATAATTTATCTTTTTTTTTACTTTTCAATTACAAATTAGCCACAGTACTTATTCTCCTGATATCTTAGACTACTAGAGTCTCACAGTTTTCCTTCTAGAAAAGGGTATGTCTTGGTCCTCTCATAGAAGACAAATATACTTGGTTTCAGGAAAAGCTTCATCTAGAAGCTCACCTTTGATGATCCTGTATGTGTACTGATTCTTTGCAGGTTTCCTGCTGCTTGTGTTCTTGAAGAGGAATGCCATCTTGTTGGAGAAAGAGGCGAGAATTGTGGGGTTTTTACCATTAGTTATTTACTCTTCAAAATTAAATTTATCCCTTCCTTATATTTGCTATATATCATCTGCCTAGAATTTAGCTCTTGTTCAGTGTTTTTCTAAGCCCATATGTCTGAATTTCAAAGGATTTCTTTTTGACTCAACTAACCTCTAAACTCTTGCCATTACACTCTATTGATCTCTTCTTTTCCTGCTTTCTTTTGTGTTCAGAGGCATACATATCCTTTGAGATCTGATTAGTTTTCTAATCCCTATAACCTAAGAGTTCCGGTTTTTTTCCCCCTATAGGAACATTTTCACTTGCCTCTGTATTTTCATGTTTCAGAAACACAAGTTGGAATTTGATGAGTTTCCTGTATTTGTGTGTGCATTTTTGGCAGCTTCAATGAGCTTTTGCAACTTGCTATTGCCTACTTTAAGACAGCATTCAGATCCTTGATTTGTCCTTAGATGTCATCCACTAGATTTGTGCACTGTATACAAAGTTAATTTGTGTCAGGAAAGCTGTAATGGGTTTTAGGCACTAGATGTATTGCAGTAGTTATTTTGAAACTTGAATGCCATTAAAGAAACAAAAGTATGGAAGGGCAAATCTATAGGACAAGAAAATAAAGGCTAAGAGGTAAGGAGACTTTAAAGGTTCCTATGCACCTTTTTAAGTCCAAAGCGGGGTTAACAAAGCCATATTTGGGATGCTTTAGAAAATTCTGAACTGGTTAATTTTTCTTACTTATAGGAACGAGTAAGATTAGATAATATGCATAGTAGAGTAAATTTATGGGACTACATGACATGAACCATGATGAAAATACTGTTCATGAAACCACGACAGAAGTCTTCCTGTTGCTCAAAATAATGTAGGACGTGACCTGCTTTGCGTGATGGGTGCACAGTTCAACGCACGAACACCAAAAAGCTGCTGTTCACTGTGTAACCCAGTAGCACATAGAAGCACTCAGCCCAGGTGCTTTGGGCTAGATTCAGTGAATTTACCGCAGCAGGGTGTGCGGTGGCACTGTACTATTGTAGGTGGTTACTTCTACTGAACTTGCTGCCTACGGCTGGAGGGACGGCAATGTTCCCTCTCTCTTTTGCCTCTGCTCGAAGGAGCTCTAGACGTTTGACAGGATCCTCTTACTCTTCTGTTGTTCTCTTTTCATCCATTTTCATTTTTTCCACCCCTTCCTTTCACTTCATATTTCTCCTTGTGTCTTAAATTATAAAAACAATGTTTCAGTCTCACTTTGTCTTTTAAGAAAAAAAGAAATAAATAAAACCAAACAACAAAAGCCGCTAGCTTGACAACCACCTTCCTATGTGTTGCCCTTTGCTTGCCTGCAACTCCTTCCTCTTGAAAACGTGGCTTCAAGTCTCCTGTGTCTCTTTTCTTCACCAACAATTAAGGTCTCTCCAGGATCTCTCAAGACAGACGGATATTCCTTATGGCACTGTCTTGGACTCCGCAGTCTATGAGCACGTCCGAGTGAAAGGAATGAATCCTTTTGAGAGGGACAGCATGTATTCCCAAATGTGGCGGATGATTAACAGAAGTAATGGCTCAGAGAACAACGTCATGGAGTCGACTGCAGGCATTCAAAAGGTACTGGTATGACTCACTTCTTGCTTTCCATTGGAGATGCTCTGCTGTAACACCGCATTTGCTTGGTTGTTACTTTTGTAACTATAAGGGATGCACTTGCACCCAGATAATGATCGTGCCTGGTACCAATTTCTGCAAGCCCGTTGCATCTTCAGGGAAGACTGGGACTTCTCAGCTATATAGCTTGTTTTCAACCAGGTTTTAAAATGTAAGTACCTAGAGTGTTTGCTCTATAAAGGATTTATAAGTATGAGAGATGAATGCATTTGTCAGGATGCAAAATGGGAGTAGGATTAACGAATTTATAACGCCAGAAGATGTGGCAATATACTGTACAAAGCTTAAAACACTTTGACTACAAGGCATCAATTCACTTACTTTTGCACATTTCTGACACTGAAAATCTTGGCTTTCTATTGTAGCTCTGAACCATGTGTGTTTTGAGAGAGGCAGGCAGAAAAAGATGAATCTGACTTTAAATAAGACTCTCACAGCCACCTTCTATAGTGAGTTTAGCAGTGGGAAAATACTTTGAGAGCAGGCATCAATTTTTGTAGGTACATTTCTGAATTTTTGTAGGTACATTTCTGAATGCCATAGTTCCTTCCCATGTTTTTGGTTGACAGCTGCAGGTTTTGTAAGAACAGAAGTACAGGAAAGGGTTCAGTATGAGAGTGAATGTGGGTTAATGAGAGACCATATACAAACTTTATCCCTACTGTCATATCTTCATATTCAGTTTTAAAACAAATCTGAGAAATATTATATTTTTTAAACTTCAAAATTTGAATATTAATTAGAGCTAATATCCATCAAGTTGTGTATTCACTTATTTTAAGATTATTTTAGAGACCTCTAAAAATCTAGACAAATTCTACCTTTTGTCTCCACCAAAAACCATTTGCCAGGAAAATTTGTAATTTCTGGTGTTTTCACACTGGAATCAAACTTGCAAGAGAAAGAGTATGTTAAAAAGAATGAAGTAAACACTGGTGATCTCTTGATAAAATGAACCACAGAATAACAAAGATTATTTGGAATTTTAAAAATCTCTAATCCACTCTCTGTATAACAGATCATGTTTTCTCCTCTGAAATACTAAAGAGCATGAAAGAAGAGGCAAGAGAGCCCCTGGGGAACTGCACTTTTGAAACCCCTTTAGAAAAAGTCACAAGCTGAAAAAGTCAAAAAAAAGACAAACTGAAGATTTATTGGCTAGAGGAAATTGCTTTTTTGAGAAAACATATTTTAGCTCAGTTTGTAAGGGACTGATAAAGCTGGGGTTTGCCTTTTGTATAAAAATAAACCAAAACTGCCCTCCTCCTGGTTTGCCTTCTCAAGTTATACTAAAGGTTTCAGAAGAATCAAAAACCAGAGCACGTCAAACACAGCTGTGTTGACTAATGGCTTTTAGCTGAAAAAAAACACCAGTGCATCATGCTGGCAGGTAATTCCAGATTACAGTCTTTGATTTCTCATTCCTGGAAATGTGGCAGTTGCTGTCTTAAAACCTACAAAACCAGAAATATGTGGGTTCTTGAATTTCCCATGCCTCTGCTTCCCAGGAACATGCACTTGCAAATTATAGTATTGCAAAACTAAGTTGCAGCACGTCAGCAAGCCAACCACCCTCCAATTTTGAAATATTGAAGGACTCAGACCTGATTCTAATGAACATACACGTCCACCTATGTGTATGCAGTTTCTCCTCTTCTTTCACCTTGCAGGAAGATATGACACAGAAAAATATTACCTGCCAGTTGCTGTTCACACAGAAGCTTTTGGGAGATTGTACTTGGCCTACTCAGGAAAAAAGCTGGATAAAGACTGTGATGTTAAAAGCTAGTCTTGGGCAAGGAAAATTAATATTTAAAAAGATAACTGATAAGAGGCAGAGATTGAAAGCTCTGTAAAATGTTGCAAAAAAAATGAAAACATTTCAGAGGAAAGAATTCACAGGTCCCCTCAGCCTATTATACACTTCATAATGTTCTTCAGGATCTTGAACGAATTCAAGTGGTCACATCAGAGCTGTTAACTCAACCAGATTATAACCCTACGCCACCAGGTCTCCCTCTGTGCTTCATTTTGTTTCTACCATTAATCAGTGCTAAAGCATGACTGCATAGCAGTTTGTCCAAGCTCTCCACGGCCATTACCTTGGCCCAGGTTCCTGGAGTGCCAAGTGAGGGCTCAGACTTAATGAGTGCTTCCAAACAGGGACAGGGAAAAGGATTTCCACCAGGCTACCTGATGACCAAGAAAGGACTGTGATAGGAGGGACCACCGTGGAAGAGAGGTGTGCAGGAAGGATGTTGTGGACGCGGTGGGCATGCTGTTCTTTAATAACACTCCCTGCTGCACCCTGTCCAAGGTTAAACAGGGTTTGCAAGTAGCCATCGCAGAAGAGGCTTTGCCAAAATATTTTTTTTTATCTTAAAAGTCCTTTAGTTTTGTCTTGCTTTTATTCTGCAAGTTGCAGTGGAGCTGGCACCCTTTATTTTGAGGAAAGTAGCGGTTTAATACCAATGTATATATAAACAGAGGGAAGGGGAGGGGGATTAACGGCTGATTTGCTCATCACATTGTCCTGCTTGCTCAGCAGGGCTGCACACTTGCTGTACCAGTGACTTCATGGGGAATGGCACCTGTATGAGTGAAAATACAATACAGCCAAATGACAATGATTGCATAGTCCCATTTTGCATCAAGCAATCTATCACTTTGACCTGCTTTTCCCGGCAGGAGGGCAGGGCAGGCAAGAGAAATAAGATGGGAAGATCATGCCATTGTGAGTTTTCAGGTTTTGATATTTATTGGTCCTGTTCTTATAAATGAGGTGCATACATATCACTGTGTGTACTCCCATTCCACCCATAGTGAACAGCTATATACACCATCAGATCTGGTTAGAGAGCAGCCAGGTCGATTTGCCTTGAAGAGAGAGCAGAGTTTTAAATGCCTCAAACAAGAGATAGCTTGAAAAGCACAGGCACTGCCACTTATTGTCTCTTCCTTTCTCAAAAGGCAACAAAAAGCAGTTGAAGATCTGAATTGAAGGTAGAGATGCATTTAGTTATTTGTGGTCCTGCTCTGTCAAATCAAAATGGATGGGGAGGTAGCTGTATTCCTATATATGCTTGGATTATTCCGGAGAATATTCACTTTTATTTCCTTTTATTCTTTATTATTCCTAAATGTTTCATGTATCTCAAATTGATTTTTTTTTGCATAGGTTATGAAATATGCATCTCATTCTGTCAAAGGAATCTCTATTTTCATGGAAGTTATTTATTCGAAGAGGATTTAGAGAGGCCTAAGTCATGCCTGCTTAAACATTCATTGAGGACTCTAAGAAAAATCATTTAGGCTTAAACATATCACATTACATACCTCTTTATGTCTTCTTAAAAAGCACATTACCCTGCTTAATCCTTTACAAGCACCACAGGCTTTCCTATCCCTGGAACTATTCCCATTTAAAATATAATGAAGCACTTCCATTGTGCCCCTGTCTGCTCTTTCTTCCCTGGAGTATAATATTGCCTAATGCCCTATCCTACCCACCTTGTTCCTCTGAACATGATACCATAGCCTACAGCATCTACATTTTTCTCAGCAGTACAAAGTGGAAAATTCCTTTTCCAGGCTGCATAGGCAGAATCCGAATACATTTGAAACCTCTGTCTGTTTAACTCTATCTGCAAAATATTCAGCCGTTAGGAAACTTGTAAAAGATTGTCAGGTGAAATAATGCTTCTGAGCGGTGCACTAAAAGAAACTCCTCCTAGGATCTCATATTTCCTCTTCAACTTGCACATAGTATCAAAACAAATTTGGTGTTGAGATTTTGATTTTCTTGCGATCCTATTTGCATTGCCAGTGGAAACATGCTAGCAACTGCCGAGCCTTTTTGCTTTCCCTGGACACTATGAATGGCACTTTTCCCTTCCTGAAAATACTGTAATAGTAATAATATTGTTTAAACTACCTATGAATAGGCCATAGCAAAGCTTCACTAAGGTAATTTGTCTGGAGAAGAAAAGGGTAATAATGATTTGTGATTCTGTGCTAGAACAAATTGTTGATAATTGGACATGGTTATTCTTAATTTGTTTTCAGCAGCAGCAACAGCATGAAGATTTCTATTGATGGGCCAAAAACTCCTGAATTAACTAATTATCTTGATTAACTCACAAATTTGCCATTGGAATTGCAGTTCTGGTGTCAGATACACTGATCACACCACTGAAAGATGCAGTTAATATATGTAAGCCCATAAATCTTTGTTGTGAACATTTCTGACCATAGAGTTGGCCAATAAAAAGACACCAAAAGCAAGAGATACCAAGACAGACTTTTTGGGTATTGGATCTGTACTGTGATTCAGCAGTTTGACAGTGGCTAAGAAAGGAATAGGAAGCAAAAAAGACAAGAGCATATAAAAATACTGAGACTGTACTCTGGTCCCCTGTATATCTTAATTCACTATAAGGGGATCAGCTACACTATGCCGCTGTTGGTCAGCAAACTAATTATCAACCCAGACACTGGTTCCCTGATTCCCCTCTGCCTCCAGAGGTGATGCTTCTTGGGCAGATGAGATGTTCTGTTGCTACTCTACAAGTAATAAGGTTCAGGAGTACCCTTAAGACCTTGACATGTGCAGCCCCACAGCTGAAGGTGCAATTTACCTATTTTGCAATTACCCTTTCCTGCACAGTCCACAACTTGGACCTGACAGGTGCCTGGGGGTACTAAACACACCTGCCGTCCTCACTTTTTATTATCACGTGTGGTCCAGCTCTATCTTATTTTTCATATAGTATCCTTTTCCTGGAAAGCAAGTCTCAACATAAAACCTGAGCCAAATTTACCAATGAGGCGCTGTTAATAATGACAGGAGGAACACCTGATCCACTGACACTAGCATGTTTAGTGTCTCATAGCTAGTCAACATGTCAGTTTGTGAAGGTAGGGGAACGGGGTATATTTCATGG